TATTTAACATTAATAATTATACACAGACATGGCACAGTTTAGTGCATATATATTTCCAAGTTAAACCACCTTAGTACTGAGAAAAAACTGAATTATAAGCTACAAAACTGGGGCTTCTGGTGGGAATGTATTAAAAATAACAATATAAAACTAACAGAAGTCATTCCACTAGGCTGAAATATTTGATGAAGGTAATTAAAACAGTAAAGTTTCAGTCAGTAAAGGTATGCTATAACTATTTCAAAAACACCTCTACCACTCACACTAGTCATTCTGTTATACTTTTTTGTAATGTGCAGCACAGAAGGAAGACATACTTTTGTTACCCCTCACTTGAAACCTGATGTTATGATTTTGTTGCGTTAATGCCATTAGAGCTTCTGTCATCTTTAAATATTACACGTGCACCATATGAATAGTTAGATCACAATCAGATCCCATAACCTTCTCACTATGTTGACACAGTAACCACAGAATTTTTTGTATTTTTGAAGTTTGTAGTTACAAAATGAGCTTTGTGCTGCACTCAAATGTATTCATATCTGTGCTAAAAATAATATTTTTGATAACATATCAAAAAAGAATTACTTCACTTCAACAGGGATTTAAAGTTGCAAAGTTTTTACTGCACATTTCTTACCTAAACAATTGACTACACACATCTCCATATAGGTTTATACAATTGAAGCCATTAGCTTAATCTAAGATATCCAATTAAAAGATAACCAGTGTTTAACACTGAAATTTGTATAACATTTTTCCTTTCTGAAAACAGCTTTAAGCTATTTAAGTGGGTCAAACTTTTCTTTAAAATTAAAGGCTGAAAAAATCATGAATGCTTTAAATTTAAAATCATTATTACAATTTATCCCAAAATAGTGGGCAAATCTTACTAATGCTAACAATGCTGTAAACCATCATACATAACATCTAGTCATTAGTAAGTTAATAAATATTTTATTAGCGCAAAAAAAAAAGAAAAAAAAAAGAAGAGTTTATTTTGCACGAAGATAGTATAATCATGACCAGAGTATTTGTTATTTCTATTGGAAACTAGGGCAAGTTACCTAAAAGAGTTTGACAAAGTAAAGCAGGGTTTTATTACACTGAAAAATGCACTAATACCCTGCATATGTCAAGTTTCAATAATACTTTTAGATTTTGGTAAATATAAAATGCTCAGGTGATGAAAAATCTGTCACAAAAACGTATTTTATTTATTTTTTTACTAAACAGTGACAAATTAAATTCTTTAGCTAACTAGTTCTTCATTAATCTCCATATAAAAGTGATTTAAAATGTTATTATACATAATACCTATACATGAACATATCCTTAGGCCTTTCATTAGATACAATGTGCTTGATTATTTATACTTTACACGCAACCCTATCAAATCAAAATGTGTCCATTTCTAGCTGTTGTCTATAGTGAAGGACCACATATATATATCCAAGTCTTTAATGATTTACATATATATATTTTTCATTCTCTTTACAATTTACAGTGCATTCATCCGAAGTCACTGAAATGTTTCTGCCCGTCATGTTATCATTAGAAACTTTTCATTAGTTGAAATTACATCCAAAGTTTTAGAAATCAAGAGATGTTCATATTATTTGACTAAAAGTAGAAGTTAAATAATATTTTTCTCCACTCAATTTTTATAACACTAAAATGACCATGCTGATTTATAATATGTATGTTTTTTTAGAGGTAGTGGTTCTAATGAGATTTCATTTCTTTCATAAATTTAAATATATATACACACATGTTAAATGCTCAAAACATTTACTACGTATTAATCTACAAACCTTTTTTCAATGAAATGTCTGGTATTGCTCATTGTAGTTTTGTACACTTTTCCCATATCAACACAACAGGTAAAGTTTACAGACTTAGAAAATTAAAGACTTTACATTGGAGCTAGGCTGAATGAAACAGTACGAAAGTAAAAGATCTGGTAATGGCATCAATATGTCAGTAAATAATATACTACAGACAATGTTTAAAAAAAGCTTGAAAATCTACAAGATTGATGAACCATTATTCATTAGAACAAAGTCCAGATGACATAAACAATAAAATAATCTACAAAAATATTAATAGAAGAACAAAAGTTATAATTTTCCTATACTGAAAATGTATTTCCAATAGGTACTTACCTCCTCTCACATAAATAGCTATTCTTGTTCAGTGCTACCCTCTATATGCAAAAATATTTTTATGCATGCCACAAGCCTTTTTTCTCCCCTCTATTGGAATTTATTAATTCCAATGAATCTCTCATGCAAATTATAATGTGACAACCCTCCATCAATAAGTGTGCAACATACTCTTATTATGCATGTGATTCCCTCTATTCAATTCTACTTTACTATCACTTCAATGTTTGGCAGAAAATGGAAGTACTGGTTTCAGTGGGGAGGAAGGGTGGGAAGAGGTAAGTACCTATCAGAAATACAATTTCAGTATAGGAGAATTGTAACTTTTGATACAGTACATTACCTCCACTCACATAACTAGCTAGAATCCCACATTGAATAGGTGGAGGGACTGGTGTGAGAGAAATAAAGAACCGACATCCATGTAGAGGTATGAAAAAGGATCATTCCACTGGTAAGTCAACTACAATCCAAAACCCAGGCCGCTGGGAACCGACATCCATGTGGAGGTAGGAAAGAAGATCATGCCGGTGGCAAGTCAACTACAATCCAAAACCCAGGCCGCCGAGAACCGGCATCCATGTGGGGTAGGAAAGAAGATCATGCTGGTGGCAAGTCAACTACAATCCAAAACCCAGCCATCTAGTAGGGGGTATGAAAGAGGATCATACTGTCTTCACCTCAAGTTCATGATACCATAGAAAATCTAGCACCAAAAACTAATGAACGGGGCACATGTGAATATGATAAATTGATCCAGTAACCCGACATCTGGTATTGAAAAGATGTTTACATAATGTAAACCACCTCCCTCAAAAGTGAAATTGATCAGTACCACTCCAAGTGCATTAACATCCAAGGAATAAGAAACATCGAAGGATAGCAGTAGGGAAAGAACAGAAACAATCCACAATTACCTCCACCGTGAGCCACAACACCGATGAAGTATAAAAGAGTGAGGAATATAAACATCTGTAATATGTGTGTGAGGATTAATGTTGATTGGTTCTACTCATAATCCAAAACTTGGCTACTGGGATGATCCGGATAAAGGAGAATATCTGTAGAATGATAAAGAGTAACTGAAACATCGATGCCACATAAATCAGACCTGCGACATCTACAGGTTATGAGGAAAAAGGAAATAAGTCTTAAGGAAAAGGTGAAACAAGGAGCATGTGGAAAATGGTTTGAACAGAGGCAAAGTGAGGCAGTGAAAGAGGACATTAACCTTCCAATTTGGTAGGACAGTCCACTGCAGTGGATGATGAATCCAGAAGGAATGCATCAACAGGGAAAGCATATGAGAGGTAAATACCTTATGGTATTGGGAAAAATGAAAGGTGTGGGACAAGGCCACCCAATAACCCGAGATAAAGGAGACAGAAGACCGCTGATCGAAAAGCCAAGTAAGAAAATCCACAATATGAGGAACAGTGGGTCGATCAGCAGAAAACCCTCGACCCAGAGACCAGTGGTGGAAAAACATCCATTTACATTGATAAACTTCCATGGAAGAAGAACAAATGGATTGAGCCAGAAATGAAGTTACTCATCAGGACAAGCCAAATCTCTTTGCCTAGGACCAGATAAAAACCAGGCACGAAGATGGAGGACATGAAGGGTTGGATGAAGCACTGGTGATTGAGGTCAAAGAAGAGGTAATGGAGGGGTAAAGTGGAGCTGGAAAAGCTGCGGAAACCATGGCTGAGCCGGCTAGAAAGGAACAATGAGATGGACTTGACAAGAAATGGTATGGATGATCAAATCACCCAGTGAAGAAGTCGATTGGGAGGATAAACATATAGGTATTTGTTGGTCCAATCCTAGCTGAAAGCATCGACAGCCAGAGCAAGAGAATGAGGGACCAGAAGCCAAAACAGAGGTAATTCATGGTCGAGGAACATGGCAAAAGCATTTATGTGAGGAGTACCCCACTGAAGGCAAAGCCAATGGAAAACAAGATAGATTTTGTCTGAATGGGAAAGCCGATCTACAACAAGATTGAAAGCACCCAGAACATGACACGCAATGATATAAAATATCTTGCATGTGGACCCAAAAAAGAAGATTCAACGTATGAATACAGAGGGATTGAGAACGGGTGCCACCTTGGTGATTGAGATAAGCAGCCACTGCAGAATGGTTGTAATGGATCATTACCAGATGATTTCTGGCCAGATGGAGAAAATGAACCAAAGCCTGTTTTACAGCAAAAAGCTCAAGGATGTGGATATGATAAGACCTCTCGGCTGCAGAACAATGTCCCAAAGCTTCCTAGAAATTGACCCACGCCCCCCATCCCTGAAGGGATACATCTGTGAAAATGTGTAAATCTTGATGAGGAGGAGAAATCGGAACACCTGCTGACCTGTGAGACTTGTCCAACCATCATTACAGATCGTCGACTAGGGTAGGGGGAAGGGTAATATGAGCCTGCAAAGGGTACCGTGCAAGATTCCACTGGTCATGAAGTGTTTGCATATGAGTACGACCTAAAGGGATAAGAGCTGCCATGGAAGACCACATCTCCAAAAGCAACAGAACCTCAAGAGCTGTAATAGAGGGAGCAGTAAGAGCACGGAGAGAACTGAAAGCTATATAAAACGAGTGTTGAAAAAATCACCCAAATGGACAAGATATTGGTTAGGTTGAAGGAATGTCTTCTCCAATTTGATTAACCAGCCCACTCGAGCCACCTCTAGGAGCAGCTGATGAGTGTAACAGGCAGACTCCTGTTTAGAACGAGCTAACAGTAGCCAGTCATCAATATAATGATGAAAGCACAACCTGAGAGCATGTAGGTGACAAGCGAATGCCCTGACCACCAGACAAAAAACATATGGAGCCGAAGCAAGTCCAGAAGGCAGTGCACAAAACTGATAAACCACCCCATGATGAACAAACCAAAGATATGGTTTGCGACTGACAAGATATTGGGATATGCAAGTAAGCATTAGTGACTTCCATCTTGGTCATCCACAAATTAGGAGAAAAAGCCTACTTGAGGGTGAGAAACGATTCCCTGGTAAAATGGTGTAGAATGAAAAATTGACTGAGGCGGGACAAATCTATTACAGGTCACCAGTCTCTGGTTTTCTTGGGGACAATAAACAGCCTGGAGGAAGATGATGAACAGGTTCAATGGCCTGTTGAGACAAAACGTCTTGAACCACCTCTGACATATGCTGGCAGGTGATAGGATCCCAAGGCATAGGGAAGGAAATGGGTACCAGAGAAATAGGAGGTGGGTGGGGAGAAATTGGAAGACAAGTCCCACTGATAAAACTCGAATAACCCACTAATCTGTGGTGAAAGATTGCCAAAAGGGAACACACTTGCACAATTGAGCTCCTACCAGACTGGAACCCACTGGGTAGTAGTCACCAGTACTGTTGGCACCATGCCTATCTCCATCAAATAAAATAAGGAGATAAGAAACTCCTAGAGGGAGGAATAGGTAAGGGCTGAGAAGGACTAAGCTGGGAAACAGGAATAGGGACTTGTTGTGGTTCTGACTGCAACAAATGAGCTACCAAAGAGGAAAGGGTAGAGTGTTGATGCACAGACTCCACATGTGATTCCAAAACCTCAGGTACATGGTCGAAAACATACTGCTGAAGAAAAGGGGACGTATGTAAATCCCTTAGATAAGTGTGCAGCAAACAAACCTGGGACAAGGCTCCATCATGACCCAGAAGATCCCAACAACAGAGAAAACACATGTGTAAAGCAAGAGCCAAAGACAACAGAGGAACAAATGTGGAGGTAATAAAGGAGAGGCTGTCCCTCGAAAAACCTTCAGGATCTCGGTGTATCGCCTCTGAAAGGAGATGGAAGGTAGATAAATACCATACAAGTGAAGTAAGGATAAAATAAAGCCGTGAAAATTGGGCATGGGTTAAATGTGCAGGAAAATTAGGGACTGCCCCCCACACAGGTAGAATAAATCCCAACTGCTGAGAGTCGAGAAATGGACAGTTGGGCTGATGGTAAGCCAAGGCAAACTGATCCATAGCCCATGGAGGGCAGGGCACCCTCAATCAATTGTGAAGCAAATTGCTCAGCATGAACCCTAATATCTGGGGGGGGGGCTAAATACAGAGAGGAAGAACTATCATGCAACAAAGAAGGATGGGATCATAGAAAATAAGGGAAATGGATAAAACATCACATACCTGAGAAATCATGTCTAAAAATGCCATATTAGGCCTAGCTGATTTTGCAGGTTGGGCATAGGAAGAAATAGCAAAATCCAGTGGTGGAAAAATGCTATCAAAATCTTCATTGGCCAGAACTGGTTCCGCTTGTTCAGGAGGAAGTGGGGCAAGTTTAGGAGAAGGTGGTTGATCCATGTAACGATCAATCTCTCAGCGGATAATCGCTGATAAATCCAATGATGGGTTACCCTCACCTGCAGCCTGTAAAAGTGCTTGTAGAAAGTATGATATCCAAAGTGGTAACTTAAACCTAAGAATTCATTTCAAAAATATGAATCAAACATTAAAATGGTTTAATAGACAAATGCAAATGTGAGAGAGAAAAAACAAAAAACTGGGAAATTAAGTTAAAGTAAAATGAATCTTTAATATAACGAAAAAAGCACCAAAACAAAAAAAATGTCTCAACATGAGTACTGCCAAACTCAGTCATAGTTAAGTAGAACTGAATAGAAGGAGTCATATGCAAAATTAGAGTATGTGACACTCTTATCAGTGGAGGGTTGTTACATGAGAGATGCACTGTAATTAATCAATTTCAATGGAGGGGAAAAAAAGGCTTGTGGCATGCGTAAACTTTTTTTTCATATAGAAGGCAGCACTGAACGAGAATAGCTATTTATGTGAGAGGAGGTAATGACCATATCAGAATATAATCATTTGTGTATTTATATCTTGAATAAAAGAAACTTCTATGATATTTTAGTTTTAAACAACTTTCAGTGTACAGTGTGATGACGTACACTTATGTGGTGTTAAGAACACATATTTTTGAAAGTATACTAAAAGCATACTGATAAAAATATCTAATAAATAATAAAATCCTCAGTCCAAACATACCACAGTAACTTTCAAGTTTGTCTGTAAATTTTCCCTGATTTATCTAAAACCATGCTTGTTTCAAGCTTGAAGGTCATTTTCTAATTTTTGAAATTTTCAATACAAGTTTTTGAACAGGAGCTACTTCTAAACCTAAAATTTGTTTTATAAGTACTAAAAAACTCCACCCAAAGTATGTACCAATAAGGGAACAACCATTTCTGTTTTGCTACTGTTTACAAGAAAAGCATCAGCAAAAGAACTTATAGGTTCATGAAAAAAAAAACAGAAGTATAATTGTTTGTACGAATAAGACAGTTTCATAAGGGAACAACCATTTTTATTTTGCTACCATTTATAAGAAAGGCATCAACAAAAACAACTTATGAAAAACATAAATACACCAGAAGGGAAACTGTAAGTATATAAACACAGTCTATTCATTTTGACTTGTTCTCAGTTTTAATCCTACCTGGTAATGTATGTATATATATTTATATATATATTACTCCTTTAAGCCAAGAAACAAGACATTTGAGTAAGCTCTAAAGTTCACGTATAGCTGTAGTTTTACTCAATAGCTAAGTATTCCAGAAACTTTACAGAGAAAACTGTGTTAATAGTATGTCTGAGAATGTCAAATAGAAATTTTTAATAGCAAGACAATTATAAACAGCTCTTTAGACAATCACAATAACATTATGAATTTGTTCAGCAAAAACTTAGAAGATAAAAATAAAACTATGTACCAGTATACTAAGCCTAAATTATTAACATCAACTTTCACGTCTAAATGTGTTGAAAAGCAAAATGAAAATGACATAACACTGGAATGTCTTGATTTTTGCCTTAAATTATACTTGACTAAAATTGCAATATCCATTAAATTCAAAATAAATACTACAAACTATCATTAGTAAGGGTAGCTGATTCCTCACCTGTGCTTGCTTATCACAGTTTCTTTTTATTCATTGAAAATAACCCTTAAGCTCTTAATAAACAAAAGTTTTTTACAATAAAATTTCTTTTGAATAACAAAAATGTAAAGCAAGGTTTCCAATCAACCTGAACTCTTGTGGATCAACTTATGTGAGACAGCTTCATTTAATAACCATTTTTATGGTATATATGCATATTTCCTTAAACCTTATGCAGTATGAAGCAAGTTGTTTAGGATAGATAGCTATACTAAACCTTATCCAGTATTAAATCAATAGTGTAAAGTATATGAAATAATTATAATAATCTATATTAAAATAAATTATAATTGATGTCAAATGTTTGCTGGCATTAATTACTGAAATACGAATAAATCTCTCACTGGGTTGCATATGTCAACTAATTTAATTATAATAAATGTAGTAATTGTATGTTGAGGTTCACTCTTTAAATATGACAAGAGTCTCATATTCAATTGTGTAGGAAGTTGATTTAATTAAAATAAATGTGTTAACTTCTGAAATACAACTAAAATCAGTCATTGCAATTCGTAAGTCACGTCAGTTATAACAGTAAGAAAGCGATACATAATTTAAATAATACCCTAAAAACAACATGATATATACAGAATCTACCATCTTGTTCTTATGATTACAGTATAATAATGAATGAACAAAGATTTATTATTGTACTATGAAAAAAAAGACATAAGAAAACTAAATTGGCATAAATTCTTGAAAAACAGAATAGTAAAGATGTTTTAATGTTAAAGCTGAAAATTCCACATTAATAATACACTCAGGAACAAGTGCACTGATTTTAATTTTTCTCCGTTCAACATATTTGAAGTCAAGGGATGAAGACTTTACATGCATGGTATTCTGGTACCATCCTTATATCTATGGCAGTTTTATCAATTTTTACAGGAATTTTGTGCTACATTCTACAAAGACTAAACTTTTGCCAACTCTGTTTAAATTATGCTATGAAAGGAAAAGTTAGAGGTCCACATATAACTGTATATAACTCATCTATCAGGTTCAAATGAAAAGCTAGTCCATCTTAAGCTATCAGTAGATTCAAACTCACCTGGCTGTTGCTCTAATCTCTGACTATGTTGGGAAACATGCTAGTCCAAACAAAACCTTTTAGGGCAAATCTTTCATGCCAGAAAAACCCATCAATTAGCATTTCAAAATATATATGCTAGAAATATGGTACTTTATTTTACATTCACCTTTCAATCTGAGTCTGTAAATCATAACAAATTATACATTCTTCTGTTGTGTTGTTCTTGGTATACATTTTCAGGGCTTTCGTTCATGTAACATCTAGTTGTTCTATTGTTCATTTTAGGCTTTTGCTAAAGGACTATAGTCAGTCTAAAAGTTCAAGCTTAAAATAAATATCTATGCATTTCTGAAATGTAGTTTTACTGAAAATTTTTATTTTTATACCTAAAATTATAAAGAACTTCGTCAGATTTGTAAACACCAAGATGCAGTCTAGTACAACTAAAATATTTTGTTTAGTTGTGAACAGTAGAATTATAACAAAATTACTTATGTAATGAGCTACAATACTGGAACACATCTACAATCTTTTACTGAGTTGCATAGAGAGCTGAATTATAATAAAATTATTGATATAATGTATGGCACTACTGAAATACATCTACAATCTTTCACTAACTTGCATAGAGAGCTGAATTATAATAAAACTATTGGTATAATGAGTTTCAATACTGAAATACATCTATAATATTTCACTGACTTGTGTAGAGGACTGAATAACAACAGAACTTTTTAATGTAAGGAGTTACACTACTGAAATACATCTACAATATATTTTTCAGTTGTGCAGAGTTGAAAGATTACACATGCTATTGATATAATGTGCTACTACAACACTGAAATACATCTATAATCTAATGAGCTGTGTACAGATGCTGAGTGAGTACAATATGAAAAGCGCCAGTGATTACTATTATTATTATTATAAATTTAATCTTTTCAAAACAAATATCCTTTAAGTGTGGTGAAGAAAATTAAACACATGAGCATGCCATATGGAAAGTAAACAACACTAACTTGTTTGACCAATGTTGAAAACAATGCCATTTACCTAACTTTTACAAACAAACTTTATGACACATTTCAAGCTTGTTGTTAGAATTCATTAGTTGAAGACGAGTCACAATACAGCCACTAATGAAAGGCCCGAAAAACCTTAAGTCTTGTATGTCAGTGATATTTGTCAATTTATTATTTTATCTTCATTCATTCTGTACCATTTCATGCTTGGAATGAAACAATTAAAACACTGAGTAACAGAATAAAATGATACATTTTTTTTCAGTTATAAGTACACAATGGTTTTAGCTTTACTGTTTTCTTATGTGAAACTTAAATTAAGAAGATCAAATACTCCAGGTTTTTATACAACAAGTGCTAATCCAAATAAATTGAAATTCTGTCTAACTCCATTATTTTAAGAAAATCAAAAACTTCTGAACTTCTTAACATAAATACCTGTGTGCATGTACACACATTCAAGAATCATTAATAAACAATCATATCAACATTATGTACTGTTCTAGTTTATCCCACCAGGAGAAAAATAAAGTTATACTCTTAAGGTAATATAATCAACTCAAACAAGCCAAAAATCACAGCTTGTGAATAATTTAACTGTTAACTGACCCAAAGACAGCAGCAAATTCACCTTCCAGCACAATGATTGTCTTGATAGTTTAAACACATGCACAAGTGAGTGCAAGATACTTGTAAGTGACAGTAGTAAAGGTGACAAAATTCTCACTTCTCATTATGAACAGCATTTAGTCAAAACAACCTCTGGCCACAATTTTAAAATATCATAACAATTAAAAACTAAGTAAGTGGGGAAGGCAAAACTGGCCCATGGTACCAGACTGTATCTTCAGCACATTAGTTGACTCAGTAAACAGACTGTGCCACAGGAAAAAACCATCCTGCAATGGCTGGAGTACTGGGAGGTGCTGCATAGCTGACAGAGAGAAGAATTATATTGTCTACTCTCTGTCAGCTTTCCAGATCTCTATATTCTGCATTTAAGAGCCTTGAAATCTTACTACAATCTCATAAATTATTGGGTAGAGTACTCAGGTGGGTTTCTAAAATCTCCTCTGTCGACCCTGTTGGTACTTGAGTTAGCGGAGATGTCAGTGGAGAGGCATCCTTCCTTGGTGGCATCCTTTCGTTGATCTTGTCTAGACCTTTGGCTTCTTCAAAGGATGTAATCTTGTGTTGTGGGGAGATTCCTGTTGCAATAACTGAAACAATAAAAACATGTTTAGCTCGATCTCCCCCATATAAACCTCTAGACTGTTTATATAGACACGAAAACAGTATTAATTGTTTTGCTAGTGAGTCAAACTTTTATTCTTTAACTAACACAAGTTCACAACAATTAATCTTGTGTGAAAATGTTCCAACAGTTACTTAAACCAAAGAAATTGAACACTTATATTTTGAACTAAGAAATAGTTCAAAATATAAGTGTTCAACTAAGAAATGGTTGAACACTTATATTTTGAATTATTTCTTAGTTGACCACTTATATTTTGAATTATTTCTTAGTTGACCACTTATATTTTGAACTATTTTTTATTTGACCACTTATATTTTGAACTATTTCTTAGTTGAACACTTATATTTTGAACTATTTCTTAGTTGAACACTTATATTTTGAACTATTTTTTTAGTTGAACACTTATATTTTGACCTATTTCTTAGTTGAACACTTATATTTTGACCTATTTCTTAGTTGAACACTTAAATTTTGAATTCAAAACAAACTTAAGAGGAAAAATAAAAATAAAGGTATTTATAAAAGTGATCCAACCACAATGTTAGGAAAACACTAGGTTCAAAAATTAATTAAAAACAAATACAAAACCCTTGATGAAGAAAGGCCCACCTTTCAAAAGTGCTCAGAGTTATAGTGTTTTGTATTTGTCTATAAGTGTGACTAAAGATTGCTTACAACTCCCATATTGTCACTGTTCATACATATGACAATAAAGAAATAGGTTATTATAAAAAACTGTCAGTCCTACTTTTTCACCATCTTATCATTGCTTCATCATTTTAATAAAAATATTTTTTAATTACGTTTCTTAATGGATGTTTTAGGCAGTGATTTTAAGTTGTGGAGGCAGTTTTAATGGTGTGGATATGTAATAAAATTGGCAAAAAATGTCCACTTCTGAACTTCTCTGGCAGAAACCACGATATCTGGTATATATGGGTTTTAAGATATACCGATTTCAAAACTTTAGGGAAGCCAGTTATCAGTTCAATACTTTCTTATTAACACTGAGAACAATGTAAGTTTGAATCAAGAATATTTTATTTTAAATTTTAATAGCTACTTTAGTACTAGCCATCATCACATGCATACTTATGCCATATCTTATCCAAATGTATGTGATCCTTAACACCTAGCTGCCTCATTTTACCTCTCATTTTTGACAAAATAAACTTTAAAAACATACAATCACAGCCTTGGTGCAATAGCAAGTCAAGTGACACATGAGAAGCACAAAAATGAGTCAAGTTTACTTGCTCCTTCCTTGTTTTGATCTAAATTAAAAATCATAGTAAGATTAATGCTGTTTAAACCGAGAAAATCTAAGATACAATTATAAGTATATTTGTTTATGTTAATGTTTTTTGTTAGCAATTCTGTAATGTGTCTTTCTGAAAGATTGAGTCAAGTAATATTGTCATATATACAAAATATTAAAAGTATGTGTTTTTCAGTTGGAATCTACTTTCTTCTTAAAAAAAACAGACCATGCTTTCAGTGGGGAAATGCATGTTAAGCTTTTCACTCCCCCCTCATCAAAAATAAAATAAAATTTTGGCTAAAAGAACACTAGAACAGTAAGCACGGTTAAAACATTCTGCTTTTTTTTATGAAAAAAATTGGTCTTCTCTGTAAGCAAATATTCTGACCACTTGTGTGACGTATTAAACACCTCCTTCAGATATGTACCCGGCATGGCCAGGTGGATAAGGCGCTCGACTCACAATCTGAGGGTTGCGGGTTCGAATCCGCATCCCACCAAACATGCTCGCCCTTTCAGCCGTGGGGGCGTTATAATGTGACAGTCAATCCCACTATTCGTTGGTAAAAGATTAGCCCAAGAGTTGGCGGTGGGTGGTGATGACTAGCTGCCTTCCCTCTAGTCTTACACTGCTAAATTAGGGACGGCTAGCGCAGATAGCCCTCGTGTAGCTTTGCGCAAAATTCCAAAACAAACAAACCTTCAGATATAAAAATACACAGAATTTGGTAATGTTTCTTATCTATTATTCTGATGAATATGCACAATTTTTCTATGAAAATATAAACATCAGTTTTCAACAAAAGCATTTACAAATAAGTTAGTAATTTTGTGTAAATGCCACAAGCAAAAGCAACAGGGTCAGACAGATGCCATGACATACCTGAGAGTTAAATAACACAACGCTGTGGAACATATGAAGTTATATTAAAGGGTAGAAATGTGACTTAATCAGATATTAACTTAATGGAGAATTAAAATACAAATTTCACTCTAAACCTAGTCCATAAAAATATTTAGAACTGAACTTTCTGTACCTTAGCAAGTTATGAAACTAATACCTAAATTTACAGAAATCTCCCTAACTGGGAAATCAGTTTAAATAGGTTACCATAGTTTTTTTATAATAAACTACAGTCAAGCATGGTTATAAGAAAACTTTAAGGACCACTGTGTATTCTTCATTACAGGCATAATTTGTTATAGCAACTGTGAACATTAATCAGCAAATTATAAAATTTGATATGACTAATGTCTTGTTTTTATATATGTATTTATTTGAAAATTGCAGTAAATTGTGTGAAACATATGACATTCTAGAGACAATACGAGATTTTCAGTAGGTAATGCAGTTTGTATCCAAACAATAATAGTGTATTAATATACATATGCAATTAACATTATGAAACAATCCATACACAATGCACAGTACACTACAATGAAACACAGGAATATATTTATATTTGTATTATACAGACAAAAAAAAGTAACTATTCCCAATGAATTTCACATGCTTCCAGAGTATAGACCATAGTTAATGAGAAATAAATTGAACTTAGCAACAGAAGTGAAATTGTTCTATTTTCGTTATTTTAAATGCATGATTTCATTATAAGTGTGAAAATATAACTTGTTCTTTATGGGCAGCCAATAGTTATCTTTTAAAATATTCATTATATATGTCATTTCAATATATACACGTTCATTATAAATGTTCTCAACTGTGAGAAGATAAATCAGTTTTGAATATTATTCAGTGAAAACATGTCAGACATTGATAGTTCATCATTCTATGACTTGATATTTTAAAAATTTGTGAAAGGCACAAATAGGTTCTGAAAGTGAAAGAACTAAATGTCCTTGTCACATGGTGGGGAGGGACAATCTAATACTCAGAGAAAAACCTTTTTTTTGAGAAAAAAAAAAAAGAGGGTGGGGTGGGCATGTACTTATTCCAGGCCCCCAAATATACCCATCACCATACCTTAAAACCTTTATATACCAAATTTCACGTTTTTTGCCACAGGTGAGCATCTTTGTCACATATCCTCAAACATTAGATAAACATTCCTATTTAGCTCCAAAGGACAAAGGTATGGGACAATTTGGCAAACTACATATCTACATCACTTTATAAATGTTGTTCTTTAAAGTTTCAAGTATGTTGCACATCAAAAACACTTCTTTATTATGGCTTCTTCACACTACAAACTTTTCAATTAAAATAAGTCTGACATAAATATAAAAATATCATTCATTATATATTAAAAAAAGTATTCTATTGCTTCTTACTATTCTTAATAGAAGTCTTTCCCTCAGATAGAATGCCAGAAGGTAAGGTTCCCGAAGGTGTCAAGCCTTTCAACTGAAGCACACTTTCACTCTCCTCTCTAGCAGAAAAAGAAATCACACAGAGCTCACAAATGAAGCAGAAATCAGTAAATAGTTAAATTAATGAAGAGTTATAATTTACAAACAACCTGTAACAATGTTTTAAAACTGGAAAGATTATAGTATACATTAATCACAATATAATATTATATGATACACTCAATATTAGAAAAAAAAGTACTCATTTAAAGATACTTTTTAATTTTTTACTTTCATATTTATAACAGCTGAGAGACAACTTGTCAGAGGAGATAACTTATAACTAAAGAAATTTAAAACAAAGTGAGTAACACTAAAAAACTTATTGTTTAACTAAATGTACTTGTAATATATAAGTGTACTTGCTACAAACATGTACTGAAACTACTACTCTTTACAACATCTTACAAAAATTCCCATAATGCATAACATATATCATAAGGTTTTCCCAATTTACCTCACATTTCCATGTGGCTTTCAAGTATTTTGTTTTTGTGGAAAATGTAATCTATGAGCTAAAGTAAGGTTTCACAAATATCTTACTGCACTACACAAATGTTATATATGTTACTTGCAGAATAGTCTTCATACAAATTGTATAGCATGTCATATAAACACATTATGAGAGATTTTAACTTAATAATCTCAGACATTCCACATACTGATGTACCAATAACAAAGAAAGACCATAATTACCTTAATACTGAAAACACTCGAGCCATTTTTCCAATAGCCCTAATTTTATTTCGGATCACTTCTTTCCTTGCCCCTGCTGTACCACCTATGAATAAAGGGATTTCATTATAAATACCACATTAAATTTAGATATATTCTATAAAACAGCTTTACAGATACAATATGTACATTGGTAGAATAATGGTGTGATATACCTTAACTTTTAGTTTGAGTTCTTCCTTATTTTGCAAGTAAAATTACACTGAGACACAAGATTTACGCTCCATTTAATCTGCAAGTCCTAACAAGCCACAAGTTCACTCCTAAAAATATAAACTATACTAACATGGAGGTCAAAACAAAGACAGTTTTAAAAATAATTTTGTTATAAATTTTTAGTATTTTGCAATTACTACTACAGTTTTTGATATTTTACAAACAATCTATTTATCTTTTTTCATAAAGAATATAATACTCCTTTTTTTTGTCTTTAAGATATTCTACGACTGAAGGAAAACATTGGAAAGGATGTTTAATATTTTAAATAATGCATCTTTTCACAATTTTTGCTTCTCATGTTAGCCTATCATAAAGCTGCATTAAAACTAAATGTAAAAAAACAAATCATCTTCAATTTTCATCCTTTTCTCCCATTGTAGGAAAAAGTTTGTTATTAAGCAATTCAATCAGCACAATTAAATAACATGCTTATTTACACAGCTATATAAATCATGGGATACTACATAAAACTATAACAAAACAATCAAAGAAACATATTATATTTAAGTTGTTTTCTGAATAACACTATGAAGAAAGTTAGTGAATGTGACATTTATGAGAAATTTATTTTGCACTTTAACAAAAATTTAAACAATGTATTGAAGAGTGATTAGTTGCTGTATATTCAGTCTCTGTATTTCTACAGAAATGAAACATTAGTGTCACGTAACAAAAAAGGTACAACATTCAATTGATAATATGTTTCTATGGGTACTTTGTGAAATTGGAATTTATTTAAAGTATTAGATAAAAATCAGAAAAACTGAGGAATCAAAATAAAACTGTACAGAGTTTTCACACTAAACCTGTTTCTTAATTTTTATCTTAGCAGCTGAAATACTGAGTTGTTCTTTTAAAAAAGAATACATGCTAATGCAAAGTGTAATGGATTTATTAAATATGATATCAATTTTCACCATACTAATTTCTTGATATAAATTTGTGTGAATTTAACAATCCTGTGGTGCATATTCATGTCAATGTATCTTTAATCAAATGTAGTGACTTTCTTTACTATGCGGGTGGAAAATATAATCACGATTACAGTTCACAATTCTATGTACTACTCTACATAGAAGCACATGCAAACTACGAAACATCACCTACTGTAGCACAACAATGAAAATGACGTAAACTGTAACTTACGTGTCATTGGATTAGAGAGGGAAGAAGGAAAAGAAGTGTTTGGAATGAAATTTTTAAAGTCATCAACATTTAATAGATATTTATTAAAAAAACCCTAAAACTTACATTATTTTAAACCAATATTCAAATATAGAAAAAATAAAATAAAATGTCCCAAACAATCATAAGGTACTACAAAGTTTGTCAACTCTTAAATGTGTCTTAGAGAAATCTGATTGAGTATAATATTACCTACTACATGGAAAGATAACATATACAGCAATATTAGTTTCAGTAACTTTACTAGAACTACAACCACATGTAATATCATAATAATTATGTTCAAGCACCATGTCACTTGGCAATATGTTAAAAACCAAGTGGATACCTTACAACTTTAATTAATCTATATACATCTTATATGTATGCAGAACCCAATCTACAAACTCAGTTAATAATATTTAATAAATAAGGGTTTGACTCATCAGAATATTTTGCCACTGCCTACCTAAACTACGCTTGTACGTCTGCCATACAAAAATATTTTTATTGCTTTCAAAAAGATATAATTTAGCACAAAAATACTCTGAAGAAAAAAAAAGAATGCCTAAAGAAACTATAAAAAATTCCAAAATCTGTGTCTCGTTTCCAAGTCTTCTAAACTTTCCATTAGATTCCTGTGTTCATCCTTACAGGAGCTGCAGGTAGTCATTTTATCACTACACCATAGATTACTACACATACTATTTTCTTTACACTGACATAAACAATTTGTACTCTGTTTTACCTAACTGCACTTAAACATTGCCTGTAGTTATTTTCAAGGCTGTTCTTAATTAGTAATTGTTCAGATCACATACTGTGACATCATAATTCATAAAAGGGTGGGAAGGAAGAGCTTAAGTAATAATACCACTAAAAGAGAAAGGTTCATTTGTTTGTTGAATTTTCACACAAAACTATTTGATGAGCTATTATTATCCATGCTAGCCTTCCCTACTTTTGTAGTGAAAACAGAGAAAGCAGCTAGTGAATACCACCCAACATCAACTCGTAGACTATCTTAATCTAATAGTGTGAATTGACTGTCACTATTATAACATATCCATAGTCCCAAAGTGTGGAGTGCAGTTTTTCTTTGGCAATAACGGGGGTACAAACCATGGATCCACAGTCCACCACACTAGCTGCTGGGCCATACTCAGCCCAAAAGAGAAGAGAAATCATATGAGACAAAAAACAAAAACAAACATGGACAAGTATATTATCAAGCAAGGATAGTTTCTTATCAAATGTAAATACATACTATAGAACAGAGAAAAGTTCTAAAAAACATCTACAAGTGTGTAGTTTACAGGTAATGTTTCCTGAAGAAGTGCAGAAATGAATATTCATGGATTTTATTTTCCATTTTACTTTAAGAATTACATTAGATAACTGTTATAAAATTACAAAATATTGCTTGTAAAACTGTTGAAACATAAATATAATTATTATTTTTATTTAGATTTTGAAAGCTGCTATGCAGGTGTGCACTTGACACCTGAAAGGTGCTTAGTGATTTGAATAGGATTAACCAAAAAAACCATCCAAATAATTAATATCTGACTGTAAATGCAAAATAGGAAGCAATTATACCAGGCTATACATCTCCCCTTCCTTTATCCCAACAACAGAAATGTTTGTAGAAACAAAAGTATTTACAAGTCATTAAAAATATTCATAATTTACATGCTTGACATTCTTTTTTTTAATAGCATTACAAAAACTTTCAAAATAGGATACACGGATTAAAAACTATATAATATCACAACCTTTAACTGGTGCTTACAGCAAGGAGAAATAAAATAGTAGTAGCACTGTTCACAACCTTTAACTGGTGTTTAAGGCAAGAGGAAAAAAATAGTAGTAGCACTGTTCAAAACCTTTAATTGGTGTTTACAGCCAGGAGAAAAAAATAGTATTAGCACTGTTCAAAAGCTTTAACTGGTGTTTACAGCAAGGAGAAAAAAAAAATAGTATTAGCACTGTTCAAAAGCTTTAACTGGTGTTTACAGCAAGGAGAAAAAAATAGTAGTAGCACTGTTCTTAAATGTAATGCATATGTATGTTATTCTAGTAAAATCATAAGATGAAACACACCATTGAGAACTTGAAATCTTTCAGCAGTTATATATTACAGGTTGACCAATTTTGGGTTTTAAATTACCTGACCCAGGTCTTGATTTACTACCAAGGTATCATATATTAAATTGGGAATCTGAACAAAAAAAATTCAAAAAATATGACCATAATGCAGTTGTAAGCATGGGCCTGTTAAAGAAGGTTGAAACAGGCTTTTCATTAATAAATACTGGAACTTTATAAAATGAAAAGATTTCAAGATTTTACAGTAAACATCAGCATATAGCAAGTACATCCCAATAATAACTTACTGCACCTTAAGTATTAATATTTCTGATTGATTTAATGAAAGTTTTTAAATTAATTATCATTCAAACAGGACCCAAGTTCCCTGAATTTTTCACAGTGGGTACTTGGCTCCAGATTTTCTATCCATGCTGAACTGTAATATATACATAAAATTTTATTATCACCTTTTAATAGAAAAATACATGTTCATTATTCTTAGCAAAGGTGGCATGATGAGGCCAATTTATGTCTAATAGCCTAAGTGTTAGGAATTTTGTAATGGCTCATCTTAATTGCCAATGAGTTTAAAATTATTTTGAAGTGACAAGAAAACTTTAATAATAAAATACTACTAGGCTTAGTGTTGTAAAAAAATGAACATTTGAAATAAAAATCTAATACAGATTACTAATGTGGTTAAGGGCATCTCTGTAGTGGGTTACCTAAGCCTAATCATCTAAAAGAGTTGAAATTAGTTTCACCCTGTACTTCTAGATATTTAAAGGGAAACACAATTTCTATTTTTTGTTATTTACTTGACTTATGAGTTTTTTAATACAACAGGACTCAAACTTGTAAAATAAAGATTAACTTTTTAATAATATTAAATGAAATTCTTAATTTATAAGCCTAGAAAGCTGAAGAACTGATATTCAGATATGGCAGTAACTAAAACATTATTGTGTCTGAACACTTCAGATATATGCACAATTAGACAATTAGAAACTCTAGTAAATCTCTAATTCTTAAAAATTACATGCATGGATTATTTTATTTCAAAATTTGTAATAAATATTTTATTAAATTTGGTTATTTTAATCCTAAAACTGTTTTGATGGAAACTTGGTGAAAAAAATTCTGCTAGAATAATTTCTCATACAAAAACTATGAACAAGTTTATGGTTGATCTCTTCCCTCAAAAAATGCTATGAAACTCTAAACATGTCGTTTAGTGTTGATGAAAATTCTTTCCAAAGAAAGGCTACTTTTGCTCAGTGATATTCCATTTTGACCTTGATTTGCACCATAAGAATGGTTTTCAACATGTTAATGATATCTAGGACACTCTATGCACTTAGCATAAACAACAATGAGTGTCTTTAAACTATTTCTTATGATTTTTACTGATTAAGGTTTAATAAATCATAGTTAAGTCTGTCAGTCATTGAATGATCTAAGACAATGAAAGTGGTTATGGTGAGAAGATCATATCTTTTCTTACAATTCCTTCTGCTTTGATTGGATTCTAAGATTTATGGATAACCTATCTTTCTGACTGCTTTAACTTCAACAGGAATCTATCATGACTATATCCACACCATCTGCATTTCATGCACACAACACACCTTCCAACCTTGTACTTACAACTTAAACTAGGGTAAACATGACTTTTGGACATTCAAACAATGTATATTGACTAGTTTAGCACTGAAAACAGGTCTTCTATCAGGAAATTACTCTGCAAAAGGCAATAAACTTTCACCTAAATCTTTACACCAATAGGTGGAAAACATTTTTCAAATGAGGATTTCTCTGTAATAGGTGAAATTATGAGCACAAAAATTGAATTTTTCAAAAGTTCTAATCTGTGGAAGACAATTTTAGTTTTTTTTGTTTTTTTTTCATTTACAAAATATTTTGAAGTCCAAAACATCCATTAGTTCCAGTACAATCGACTTTTGATTTTGGATTAAAAATTATTTAAAAAGTTGGGGAGGAATATCATTATATGTATGCAAAACATATGGAATGTACAAGTTATTTTTAATGTAATCGAGAAATGGAAACCCAAGCTTGATTACTGCAAAGAAGCATGATATAAAAGACTGTTTAGTTTTTGTTATAATAACAGTTAAAAGCAAATGATTGTTGGAAGTTGTGTTTATAATTCATTGATATTGAGACTATCAAATGTCGCATGCAATACACTGACATCGAGAATATAGAGATTTATAGAAAGCGGGCAGATGATTAAGTGATAAACATATAAATAGTGTGAGATGAGCAGAAGCAATAAACAGACAATAGCAGAAGAGAGTAAAGTTACGGCCAAGGTAAAGTTCGGCATAAAGTTAACTACCGTAGAAGTGATAGGCCTAATGTTTAATATGTTAGAGTAAGACTAACAGTAGAAAAGGACATAAGAATAATAATTTATTTCCATCAAAGTTGGTTCTAAAGTAACTGATTCAGCCTGAGTGTACTTTGACAAAAGGAAAAGAGGATATTTAGAAGAAAGAAGACCAAACGATTACTAGAAGAGTAGTATATGACTACTGTAACTCACACCACAATTGTAAGTGAATCACACACAGAATACTAGTGTGATAGTAATAGAGAAGATAGTTTAGCTAGTCAACTGAAATTGTAAAGCAATTGAATAGGTCTGATAACTGGATTTATATTGAGTTTACTTCCTACACATGATGAAATTGGACACTACTATACAGGTAATAACTGATATAATTTACTAATATTGTTGTATAAGTTCAGGTAATTTGGTGCAGATCACATTAAGTTTCATTGGACCTTTCAGGATTTTAAGCCTCCATGTTTTAAAACAGCTTTTCAGTTTTGTGTTTTGCTCATAACAATCTACTGATATGAAAACCCTCTGTTAATTATTAATCAGCAAGATTGAACCTGCAGTAACCAAAAGCTTATCTAAAATGTTATCTGTAAGCAGTGTTAACAATCAAATTTTAAAATGTCAAAAAATCCAAGTTAGCAAAATAAAATGATTGTTTTTTATTACATTATTCTTTCTCAATCTATTGCAGGTTTGAAGCCACTGCCTTATCTTCTGTATGTCTTAATCAATACCTTTGATACTTGGTGAAATTTTTGTTGGCATGGAATAAACAGTGTACTTAGTTGTAACTTATTGATAATAGATGAAATATCAAATTGAAATGCTTATTTTAGATACTTATTGTTTGATATCCATAATGAACTTATCAATATATAATGTAACCAAAAAAAAGATATCCAACAGCTAAATATGCCTACTAAACACACTTACAAAACAATAAAACTATTAAATATCTAATTTCTTAGTAAGTTGTAACAAGTTTTTCCATGAATACAAACAACGTATGTGCTATTAAATCTCTATACAAAATCTTGTTTTTCCAAATTCTGTGGTTAATGTTAAAAACATCTATTTGATCTTTACATAGAAAAAATTAAATATATGTTGATACTATTTTGAAATCATGTTTTAGAATAATACTAACCTTCAAACGAATCATCATCTTCAGACATTAGTTCATCATCGGAGCAGATCTTCAGAAGATTTACTAGCATTTCAGTTACTGTAATTAGTATAAAATGCACCTTTAACTGATAAATTATTCATGAATATTTATGATCTCCTACATGCCAAAGCTATGTTATTTATGTGGCTAAAATATTATTTTTTCATATCTATTTTATGCTTTTCACAGAATCTTCTGATCCTACTCATACACCACTACAAGATTTAGATACCAGTGTTGATGCAGAAAATCTTGACTCTACTGCTATGATCAGGAAGTTTTATTTTTGAAATATCTAGACTCCTTACATAGATAAATTTACTCGACTAAAAACCTTTAAGCCTTTTAGCAATAATTAATGAAACAGAAAGACACTGACAGAGTATTACTATTTACAGCTTGACAAGTATAGCAATTTTAAGTGCTATATCATCCTCAAGTGTAGCAAATTAATTTTTCTGGAGATTGAAACTGGGCACAATTTTAACTTTGATTTCCCATGTCAGACAGCTGTTTTAACAACTAAGCAAGCTACCAGATCACAAAAATCAAACCTCAGTTTTCATAACACATAACTCAAGAGTGAGTAACATAACTAATAACAAAATGATGAAGTTAATTAAAACACTTTCCTAGCAATATGCATCAGTATCAATAATAATATTATGGTGCTCCCTGGTTATAATGCAGGTTTTAGGAGAGGCACGGAGACCTGCATTATAATAGAGGAAACAGTCGTATTGGCCATTACAACTTTTTAACTTTTTAAATTTTCTTTAATTGCTACAAACAATAAAATATAAAAAAATATATGTATTGACATCAATATAAAGTCAATACAGGGGATTTATTTAGTTGAATCATTTCTTTAAAAAGTTCTGGAGTTTCATCTAACTTGTCGGAAGAACAAATGTAGTCTTCCTTCTTCTACTGTCCATCCACGTATTGCACCATCTGGGATACCAAACTCCTTTTTAATTTGCACTTTTGAAACCTCACTTTTTACTCTTTCAACACCTGTTAAGTTTTTTTTAAATAATGTATGACTTTCTCCTATTTATGTTCGCCATTACCCATAAAAAAATTCGAATATAATAATACATGACAATTCTACATTTGTGAACTTCACACAGTAATCGGATAATCACAACACTTAGATGCCATTAAAGACATACAGCGGAAAGTTCCTCGCTGGGCAAGTTCAATGTAGAATGTAGGGGAAGGAAGGAAGACCCACAATATATCTGAATCCACAGTATAAGTAACAGCTTTATATCCAGGTAGCACTATAATTCACTTAGACTGAACATAGAATTATTTTTTATTATTGAAAATAGTCTGAAATAAATCAGTTGTGAAGACTTGAATTATTAATTTTTATCTCTGAAAAGGATAACTGTAACATTATTCTGTGTAGCATTAGCATTTATTAACATTGTAAATATTCTGCCACTGACATAAGATTTATCAGTGTTGGATTTATTTTTTGCATGTGAAAATGTCAATAAATTTGTCGTCCATACTTAATTTCATTTAAATGCAATATACTTTACCTTTCTAAAAATAGTTTTAATAGCAAATGATTACTACAAAAACAATGCACGCACAATACAGAATAAAATAAAGGATAAAATGAATAAAAGTTGGTGTTTCATTGAAACTTTGCCAGTACCGTGATCATTGCAAAATTCCTGCCTTCAAAGGTTAACTCAGAAAATATCTGAAAGGTATCTTACCTTTCTCTCCAACAAATGGCAAAGACCATGTAAAGACATCCATAAAGTTGGGTAGCCAATAAGGATGAGGAGAGCAGTTGAACTGTCTAATGTTCATGACATTATTTTCATATTTCAAGACAGCAGCTAAAGTTATAAAACAGGTTAGTCTTTAAAAAAAATATATATAAAATCTTTATGCTTGAATTATCTCAATGAATTTGGCATTTTCTCAATAATTATTTTGCAGAGAATTTAATATAACTTCCCAGATTTCATGAAAGTGTTAAATTTTTCCTAAGTGCTATTTAAGAAAACACCACACTTATCTTGTGGCCACCATGCATCAAATAAATTTATTTTCCAGTAAAATACTAGTAACTTATACTAGATTTTAGAAGCACCACAATGCATGTTATAACTGATGTAATATACCTTTATTATTGTACACATCCAGATAGTTTGGTGCAGAAAAAATAGTGATGAGGGATGGAAAACCAGTTGTTTGGCTTTTTCTGTACATCCGGTATCTAAAGAGAAGTGAATAAAAATTAATCTCTATATATCTTAGTTCAATAAATTGCACCACACAGAAATAAGGGACAGAAAACTAGTTGTTTGGCTTTTACTATACATGTGGTACCTAATGAAAAGCAAATAAAAAATTCAACTTTACCTATCTCAGGTAAATAAACACTTGCATATCATGATGATGAAGGATGGAAAACCAGTTGTTTGATTTTTTCTAGTTATGCACTAAAAATGGCATTTTATATAAGATCTTAGGTAGGTGTAGGTTGGGAGTAACATATAATAGAATTATTAGGATGGTTATTATTCTACTTTAAGGATTTTTTAGAACTTTTAAGGGTGGAGGATGGTAGGTATTGTTTAGTAGAAATATTTTTTGGGTGGCTTGATTTTATCTTATTTCTACTTTTAACTTTATTACATCTCTTTAGAGGTAACTGCCTTCCCACAACTGACTGCAGACAGTGAAAGGCAGTAAGAGTTGAGACATTTTGGGTGTAAGCACTCAACTCTGTACCCTTAATGAATTTTCCATGACTGCTAACTGGTTTCTCATCTGCTTTTTGGATTTTGTCTGATAGATGGGATATCCCCAAAGCTTTTTGCTTTTGGGTGCTATTACCACAGGCAATCTCCGTTATGACTTTTGGATTAAGACTGGAAAGTGTGATGTTTTTGTTTAAATAGAGTTTTGAATTTTTCTTATATATATATAAACATACACACACATACATACATAAATATATGAATTCAATATGTATTAATATTTGTACTAATATTGAAACTTCTAATTCTGGAAACTTCTGAAAAGTTATTACTATTGAAAATCTTGAGTTGCTACTGTGGGAACTTCTTATTACTGGCATAAAAAGGTAATTAGTATCTTACAACAAATTACAAGAAATACTAATATCCAAATATATAACAAAATGTAGAATAAAATCTACAAAAATGTACTCTCTGCCCATAGCTGTACTTACATTTCATTTAACCCTATTGACACATGTCATGGGTCAAAGGCCATGTCATCGTGTTAGTTGATTAGCATTAAAATTTTATTCAACTGCTACTTTATGAATTTATTCAATAAGTTTGATATCAAATTGGAGATTATGATTCAAATTTTAGTATTATATATTAGTTAGTTTCTGAATTGGAAAGTAAATATTAAAAAAACACACCTAAATATTGATTTTTGTGTGTCACATGGTATGTTGAATGCAGCATTGATTCAAATTAGATGCTTGTGATATCCAAGTATAAAGTCTATAGTTTTTACAAATTAGAAACTCAAATTACTATATTGACAAGCTAGAATATAAAATAAGAACCTCTTATCTCTTTTATTTGCTGAAATATCCAGACATTTACTGACTCAAACATGTTGCCCACTCCCATCTCTTTACATTTTTGGAAACATTTACATACATCTACTTCTGTCTATGACGTGTCAATAACCAATTGAAAGCTCAGAATGTCCCCCTAGTGGCATTCTCAGCCTTTTTCAAATATATAGATATGAAACTCATTCTTTTTATACAAGATTCCAACTGGTAAGGTTAAAAAAAAAAAAAGTTAGGTCAAAATTTCATATTTTTTTAGACCCAAATATAGCTTAGTTACTAAGTTTGATAAATTATAGTGGAATTCTATGGTATTGATTTAGAAATGTAAATATGAAACCTAAAAAAAATTAGTTTCACATCCTCCACATGCAAAATTTGATAAGGCTTAGCAACCTACGGTAAGCAGCAACTGCAAACAAAGTTTGTAACTAGAAGAGATAATAGTTTGCTATACTTCTTTATTTACTGTTCTATGTTTTAAGAAAAATAAGTTTAAGAACTTATTTGTAAACAGTAATAATGTATATACATATATAATGTATTATAACTGCAATGTGACTGTATTTTACAAAATACTAGTCCACTAAAACACAGCCAAGATAGGTTATTTTGTAAAGGCCAGTTTTATATTCTTGGATACAGTAACATGAGCACACATACACTGTGTCATTGCAACTTCTGTAATGTTAGCAAGGCACAGCTGAAAAGGGCAATATGATAAAAATAATAAATATATATAAATGTATAATGTTATGAGATTTAAGCTATTTAGACTGATCATTTGTGTTTTTGTATTATAATCTGTAGTCATTCTAGAACCAAAATAGCATAATTTATATTTATTTCCAAATTTATTATGGTGGTTACAAGGTAGGTCAAATTGACAGACCCCGTACGGAGTTAGGGTAGAGAAAATAACAGATAAAATAAAAAGTTTTAGTGAAAACAAACATTTGAAATGTATTTAGGAGGTTGTAGAAATTACACTAATGATATTTGAGATTTTTGGGACGAAATATAGTTTTTTAATCATAACATGAAAACCACTTTGCATTCGGACTAGTAATGAAACAGATTTGATATATTCACAAACAAGTCTTTAGTAAAAACACTTCATTATAAAATATGATTTTTTGTGTACAAAAGACTTTTAATGTTTACTAAACATCTACCAAATTTTGTGAAGATACATTTACTGCATTAAAAATTGTAGCATAAATACTTAACGTGTGCATATGTGTATATGAACTTGTGTATGTTATACTGAGTCCATCGCAAAAAGGTTAAAGTGTCAGCATTTTCAAATTGCAATATCTCTAACATGTAAATAAACATTTAAAAAACAGCCTTACCCTGCATCCTGAGCTTCATGTGCCCTGATAATTGAGAGAAGGTTGTTTTGCTGAAGAAACTCACAGCATGCTGCATAGCTGTAAAAAAAAAAATACCATTAAAACTGAGACAAAATAAGTCACTTCTACATACACATTATTACATTTTCACTTATTTTAATTCAGTAGTATAGATTGAAAAACACCATGCTTCTAATAAGGCTTTCCTTAGGTTTAAGTTTGTGCATATCAAAACACCAACAAAAAAAATCACTAAATGGTATAAGAGGATTCCAGGGGTAAAGTAAAGTCTCCATATTTGAGTGGGAGGAAGGAATATGTGAGTAAATTTTGCAAATAAACTAACATGCACTAAATAAAAAAAAAGATAATTGGCATTACTCTTATTCTTAAATGGAAAAGGTGAATATAAAGATAAATAAAGTGCTAAACTACCAGAACTTTTGGTATGATAGTGTGCATCGCATGGTTCAATTAAGAAGTTTATCACCTTTTGCTTAACATTTGCCAAACTTGTCTCAGCATTTTTGTTGTTTATCTAAAAGTTAACATTTTCCTAATCTGAATGTATTTCCAATAGACATACACACAGATTAGTTATCTTCCTCGTGCGTCTGCCTAAGAGATTTGCATGCCACTAGCCCTGACGCAACTCCCACCAAACTTCAAGTGTTTTAATGTGAACTGCAACAAAAAACCCCCACCAGTAGGAAGATGATTCAACCTTCATGCACAATACCCCCCCCCCATCCTCCATGCACTTTATTCTTTGGAAGGCAAGACAAAAAATGTGCACCGAAAGTTGGGAGATCATGTGAGAATGTGTGTGGAGGTATCTATCAGAAATAACTTTTCAGATTAGGAAAACGTTGATTTCTGAGATGATAGCTACTTCAGCACAAAGACTACCTAGAGTCTCACAATAAAATGGTGGAGGAGCCAGTGCAAACTTTTACCAAAATGACCTCTATTCAGACACCTGATGGTAGAAGCATCAGAGGGGTACGCCCATGGAAGATTACATCTCATCTCGACCAGGGTATACTTTGAATGTAAGGGGAAGATGTAAATAAGCTCCATGTGTTGCAAGGATGGGCAGAATGAAAACATGACCATTTGAGCACTTCCACACAAGCATTTGGCAAGCCAATATGTGTAGCACAGTTGGGGCACATTCAGACTGTACCTTGCATGCTCACCTTGACTCTACTGAACAGATTTCAGCTGCAGGAGGAGGGCACATTAGTTATGCAGTTTTGTGTCATATAATGTGTGCTCACCTCAACTCCACTGACCAGACTCTAATGGAAAAACTGCAGCTGCAGGAAGAAGGTATGGTAGTTAAACAGTTTTGTGTTGTATAGTGTGTGTGCTCATCTTAATCGTACTGAAGAGACACTGGCTGCAGGAGGAAGGCACATCAGTGATGTAGCATGGTGTTTTTATAGTGCATGTTCCACTCATCAATGGGGGGTAATGTTTGGGAGACATGGAGAAGTGCCCTAATCACCACTGAATCTCCAGCTGAAAAAGTATTTTACTGGAGACAAAGAAATGCTATTTTTAAAAGCCAGCAAGCATGAGCCACATAGCAGACGGAACACTTTGTTGATACTAGACTTTTCCATGATAGTCCATTGAATAGGTACAGTCTGGATCAGACAACTGAGTAAATATGTACACTATAAGGATACTGCAAGTGGTCTCGTTGAACACCCCATCTCCAAGGCAAATAGTATGAATGCTTTCCATTGCCTCGGGTTGATGCAGGTTTTCTGTAAACATACTCTGAGAGGTATCACCAGCCACTTAGTGGGATCCTATGAAATTAAAAAGGGGCTCTGAAAATGTAACTGTATGTTCTCCTCAAAGAATATAGGATGACTGAAGAATGGTGGCAGATGGAAGCTGAAATCCAGCAGGAGATGAAACAAACAGATGGTGCAGATAAGTCAACCCAATAACCAGCAAAGGCAGAAACTGAAAAACCATGGACAAATAGCCAGTAAAAAGACAGAAAGGTAGTTCACAGTAGGATGGCCAGAAATAAAGAAGTGGTGGATGAACCAATAATGAAATACCCACCACTTTCATTGATAGACAAACTCAGTAGAAGGGCAACAGGAATGTGACAAGAAAAAATGCCACATAATTAGAGAGCCTGGCCTAATGAGTGATGGATCAGACAAATAACATATGTGAAAATGGAGGGAAGGTATCTCAAAATGAAAGAAGGATATACGAGTGGAAAATGACCAGGTGATCCACTAGTAGGGGCAAGAATGGGAATATGCCTGACAAACAACTGTAAGGTTGAGTATGATGATGTGTAGTGAATGCTTGTCCCTCATCCAAATGCCAAAAGTCCTTCTTTCATCCAGAGATGTGCCTCAATCAGAGAGTGAAGCATTGGTGAAGAGAGAGAGATCCAGTTTGAGAAGTAGTAAGGGCACAATCAAGTCACCAAGACAATTCCTCAAGGAGATCACAGGGTCACAAATGAACACAATGGAACCCAAGAAATAAACCTTTGGATCCATAAAGTTCACTGTAGGAGGCACATGTATGTGACTCAAAGGAATGAAGTCAGAGTCCCCAAAGCAAAAGAACCTCTCATTCAGGAAGATAATTATAAATGCAAAACCTGATGGCCAGATATACCACAGCTTGCAGGCAAAGAGAAGATGAACTCATCTTAGATAAGAGATGAAGAAAATGCCCCAAGGTACCAGACATAGAGACCAACAGCAGGAGAAAAGATGGGTACCCACAAGGACATACATGTCTGACAGTCACTGACAAGAAGAGTGATGAAGTAGACATCTGGTAGAGGAAGGATGAAAAAAAAAAGGAAGGGCTAGAACTTGGAATGGGAAGTAGGGGTAGACTGAATAGTATATATACACCTGGAAAAAAGTTAAGCACCCCCGTGTTTTTTTCAAGTGATTCAGATTCGACGTTCTTGTGACTGATTATAAATTACCATTCAATCTAAACGTGTTTATCAAATGAAATTATGCATTATTGGGCATGATTATCACCGTAAAATAACAATTTTTAATTTACATATCATGACATCAAAATATGGACAGTTTTCACGCTTAAAATTATCTTTAATAAGTATTGTCAGTGAAAGCTCAAAAACGTTATTGAATTGTCAAATCACATTACAAAAAGTCAATATCGGGTATATCCACCGTTTGCCTGGATGAATGCGGCGCAAGGTTGCGCCGCATAGTGCCAGTTAGACGTCTGATTTGTTGAAGCGTTATCTGTCGCCATTCCCGGTGCAAGTG